AGAAATTTGAGATTTTAGATATCGGGTCATCAAAAAAAAAAACCAATCAAAGATTGCTATGGTTTTTTAAACGTATGTCTTAGCAATATTTGTCTTTAATTTTGTCAATGAAATTTAATGTCAAAATGTCCTGTCAAAAATCCTGACGAATTAAGAAACAGTAATGCGACGTACGTTTTCGTAGTCAAAGCAATCTTCGATTGTTTTTTTTTTTTTGAAGACCCGATATTGGCAATTTAATTCACTTTGAGTGAAATGACCATTGAATATTTTTCTTTCTAAGAGTATTATTAGTGGAATATAGAGCACAAGACTATAACTTATTATTAATATGAAGTTTCTGAAAATTTTTGAAATAAAATGGACTGTTGAATATTTTGGGCTCTAACTAGTTCTAATTATAAATTAGTGAAACCCGAAGTTGAAATTTAATACCAAAATAGAACATAAAGTTATCAAAGAGCCCTACATATTTTGGAGATAGAGAACTTCATCATCAGGGTGAAATTTGCTCACATATTAAAAAGTGATCGCTAGACTTCGCATTCGGCAGAGGAAAAGAAACAGAAAGTTAAGACAATAAAGAATTAAGCCACCTTTGGTTGTGAGTTATCTACAAAAGTAGTAAAAGTTCTAACCAAGACATTCAAATACTATGCTGAAACTCCATAAACATAACCTGGATCATCAGAAAAAGATATCGAGATCAGAATCTGGACGACTTGATACCAAAGTCAATTTTCCACCAAACATTCCCAAAACTGCTGTAGAAAATGGTCATTACGAGTCCGTCCTTATCTCAAAATTTCAGCGAGTTATGGATAATATTCTTCTTGCTATCCTATATATATTTTTATATTTTTTGATATTGCTTTTAAAGACAAATATAAATACATATATCTAGTTTGATAGGGTTGTTATGTATGGTTTCGGATTTATTTACGGTTATCTTTGGGAAACGACCAATTTTTAGATTATTGTCGAAACGTTAAAAATAAATACCTATTTTAAAGTCGGACTTTGACCAAAGGGAAACATATCGTCTTTATCAACTAGTTTTTAAAAATAAGTTCATTCAGTTTGTGATGCGGTGTTGCCAAACTTTGAAACTTGTTGTTTTCTTCATTTCTTTCAAATGGTACACCCTTTAGGTAGGTATATTAGATGTGGAATTGAAATTACATTAAAACAAACTTTTTTTGTACAAGACATTACACAGGGTGTTTGAAATTAAGTCGGCACTATTGCTTACTTGCTTATAAGAGTTAAAAAATTGGTTAAATTGGCAGACTATAGTAGCATTTCTTCCGCTAAATAAAATGGTGAAAGCTGAAAAACAATAATTCGGTATCGCGTTTCCGAGATATTTTTAAATATTTACTTTTTCAATGGAGCACCCTGTATATTTTTTGCTATTTTGATTGCAAATGTTTTTCTCATCAAAAAGGTTCCTTGCACTATTGTCCAAAAACCAAAAATAATAAGTGAGTTATTCCAAATTTTTACATGTTTTCAAGTTGGCCAGAGTACTTTTCATCCCACATTTAATATACAGGATGTGCAATTTTGAAAAATGGAGAACAATGACAATTTTCAAAGTTTAGCAACAAAAACTGAATAAACTGATACTGAGAAAACGATATATGTTTCGCTTTGGTAGAAATCCAACTTTAAAATATTTATTTTTAACGTTTTTAGAATAATCTAAAAATTGGCCGTTCCCCGTCCCACGAACTTAACCGTAAATAAATTCGAAACCGTGCATAGCACACTTTTTTTGACACCCCCTGTATATGCGCAAATACAAAAATATCAACAAATCAATTATTTAAACCCTTCAATTTTATATTGTATTTTTTCCCAAGATAGATTTTGACACTGTCAACTTTAAAACATAAACAATTCCACTTATTGGTCGCAAGATGCCATATTTGCACGACATGGACATGCAATGTTAAAACTGATTCCAACCTGCAAAGACATGGCATTTTGCGACCAATCAGGGCCAAGCGGTATTGTTTATGTTTCAAAGTTTTCATCAATGTCAAAATCCATCTTGGGAAAAAACACACTTTAGTATAAAACTTTTTGTCATAAAGTATGTAGATTTCCATATACCGAGATAGGACAAAATTAACAGGCCACCATGTACATATAGAAAAAGGAGTAGGATCAGTAGAGAAAGTAGGAAGCTGGTATCAAAAAGTGCTTATTAAATATCAAGTTCTAGATTTTAAGATTGACATAGAAGCTGAAACAAAAATTTTAATAAAACAATAGCTACTAAAATTGGGGCATCAATTAAATGTTCAAGTGTAAGACTTATTAGGTCTGTTCCAACCGACATCCAGGATCGTTCTAGAACGGTAATTTCCAGTTGCCCATCTATTTTTCACTAAGTTGAACGTTTATGCTAATTGACAAATGAATTGATTGACTGGCAATTACCGTTCTAGAACGGTTCTGCATATCGGTTGGAACAGACTTATTATGATCGATCCTCTATAGACCGGATTTATGGTGAAGTTTCAGTTCTATGTAAACTTCACTTCATATAGAAAGATAAAGAGACTTTCCAAATATTAGAACTGGATACGGGGTGAATAATTGGATTCAACTTTGAACTTTTCATATACTTACATAATAGGTATACTTTCATACAAACTATGAGAAAAATTATTATAAAAGACTCGATCACAAGGAATAAAGAGCTATTTGCAAAAACGGCAGGAATAATAGTAGATTATACCATGAGTCAATAATGATAGCTATTATTCCCGAGGATTATTACGAACTGAGCCGCGTTAGCGGCGAGGGAGTAACATTCCGAGGGAATAATAGCCATTATTGCGAGTAGTATACTCTACTTTATTTACGACAAATTAATTTATTTGAGATTTTCAATGAACAAATTTCATCCGTCTCATAATTTTCAATACAAATCCACAAGCATTACACGTTTGACACTGACACTTTTGTGGAATAATGACCATTAATCCCGCTACTCGTCATTAATCCCTGGAGGAATAACATATGTCATTATACTGCCAAAATCACAAATATAATACGCACATTATACATTAGTCGTAAATAAAAGATATAATTAATTTAATAAAATTAAAGCAAGATGTTGAACCAGTGGCTGAGTAATTAGGAAAAATACCCAATTGGAGAGATACAAAAAAATTTGCAAAAAGAGTTGGAAAAAATGGAAATTATTAAAAAAGTGACGGAACCAACAGAATGGGTCATTGTTAAAAAATTTAAAAACTCATTACGCATCTATTTGGAGCCTCGAAACCCTAATATACCTGACATAAGAGACAGGATTTTATCTATAAGAGTTTGGTTATATGACGTTTTTACATAACCATTCATCTACTAGCATTTGACATTGAACTAAACAAACACTCTGGAACGGGCGCACTGGTTTATGCTAGTGTGCCGAATTTTGATATATGCAACCCATCAATACAGAGGGATTGTTGTCTCGCTCTCACTCATTCCGATTAACGTAAAAGAAAGAAGAGCTTCTTCATCTTCCTAACCTCAACGATCCAAACACTTCAAACAGCTGCTCTCGATAGCCGCCATAGTGCAGAGAGAGATGCAAATCCCATTGTTTGTTGTCCTTCCTGGCACAAACCCTTGCATAGAAACAATTATGCAGCCACCGTTTCAGTGTGTTTGTTTAGTTCATTGGCATTTGAGTTATGTCATGAGACTCATAACACAACTATTTAGTGGTGTTATCTACTAGGTTATGAATCTATAACACAACTAGTTTTTGTGATTTGATAAATGTAAAAGTTAAACCTGTTAAGGTAAAACGAAGGTAGGTATATTAAAGTATATCAAGATATATTAGAATGACTTGGTCAGAAACAGCATTTAATCTTGAAAAGGGACATTCCGAATTTAACAGAATGCCCTTTGGACTGAAGGACGTCGCAGCAACATTTCAAAGAGAATAATGAACAATGTATTACTAGGATTACAGAATATAATATGTCTAGTATAAAGTATACATGGATGATATAATTTTTTTTCCATTTTTCTTCAACAACACGTGAAAAATTTAAAGAAGGTAAGTATTTCAAAGATTTGAATAATACCAATATTCAAAGTAATAAGATAAGGAATCTAATTGATCATGTGCAATTAGCAATAAATTTTGCACAATTGAGAATAATGCATTATACTATTTTAAAGCATAAAAAATAAATCAAATATTAGCAAATATACCCATCAATCAACAAATACCATTTGATAATAAAATCAAGTATTACGGGACAATGAAACCTCAAGTAAGAAACCTAAATGAGTTAATCATATTTGTTATACATAGACCAATGATTGATCCCAATCTCTTTAAATTGTATAAAAGGTATCCAATTACTATTCCCTTACCTACTTACTACGGACATTTGCTACAATCCTACTTTGTGGGAATGCCCAAAAGTAGAAAATGTTCACTCTGTAATCAAGAAGAGCTCAAGGAGAATTATGTCTAATCAAATTACTAGTGGACCACACTAGTGCTCTTTCATCAAAGTGAAATAACAAGAATCAACAGTGAAACAACTCCCGGATGGACAACTATAAATAATCCCCAAGAAAAGTCTCTGACGATTAACCCAATATGATAAGACAAACCATATATCCAACACTGGTTTCGTTGGAAAAATGTTTTGTGGAAATACAAAATCAGACATTCTCGAAAACTAGTGCAAACTTCAATTTCGAACTGAAGATTCTAAGAATTGACATCCCTGAACTCCCAGAGAATGTAGTGACGTTGGAATTTCAAGAAATCGATCAAGAAGCCGATGAAGTACAAAACTTCAAGAACAGGTTGTGCAACTGTGCAAATTGAAATGCCTAATCGCCAATTTACTTATTAGGTCCCACAGCTTTCAATACTTATGTGAGGCAAGGTGCTTCAAGTCATTTAAAATTAAAAAAAAATGTATGTTTTCTCTGTCCCTGGTCACATTTACTCACCTAGTTGTCGATTGTTGTTCAGATCGATGATTAGCGACATTTTGATTGCTAGGCAGTTGCCTGTAATATTGAGCATGATTCTGCTTGACTTGCTTATTGGCTCTGCTTTCTTGTTGATGAATTTGCTGTTGCTGTTGCTGTTGTAACGGCAACGATTGAGCCACTTGACCAGTCGCCTGATCAACCACAAGATGTTGCTCGTATTTCGGTAGACTGTGAATCAATTGACCACCTGGTGGCACGATATTTTGAACAGATTGTTGCTGCTGCTGTTGTTGTTGTTGTTGATTATTATAATTCTGTTGTTGCAGATTATTATAATTCTGTTGTTGTTGATCAATGAATTTAAATTGGTTATTAACTTCAGCAAAGCTCGGTGGAGATCTGTTAAGGGGCAACTGCTGTTGTTGGTGATTGTATTGAGGTTCGGGCCTAAACTGAATATTTTGAGACACATGAGGCAATTGATGATGATTGGTTGCTTGAGTTGGCGGAGGATGATTGTTAAATGACGGTCTTATTTTTTCGAATGGTGTATATGGAACAGGCTTGCGTTGACTAGGAGGCAACACGTCGGAAAATTGAGACTGAAATCTTTGCGGAGGATAGTTGTTGTTATTACTGCTAACTGGTTTCGGTTGTGGTTGGTACTGCGGAGGTGGTGGGTGAGAGATGGAGTGTGAAAAATTGGGGAATGATGGGCGAGAAGATGCAGATGGCGCAGGCTGAGAAGAACTTGAAGATTTGGAGTATTTTGGAGGAGGGAAAAATGGGGGTGGTCTATTGTTAAATTCTCTGTTAGGAGGTCGACTGTTATATTGGTTAGATGGCGGTGAGTAACTGTTAAATGGACGATATGACTGTGGCGGCCTGACTTCAGATCTATATTCGTTAGAGCTCGATTGATAGTTATTATTATAAGTAGGCCTTTTGAAGTAAACATCGGAATATGATGTTAATTGGCGTGCTTTTGGATATTGATCTCCTGGTTGAGATTGTGGTGGTCCAGGATAGTCTTCCGGTTTACTTGAGCGTTTATCATAATCGAAACCTTCTTTGCCAAAAGTAACTTTAACGTTATTGCCAGGGCTATGGTAAACTTCACTGTCGGGTTTTATAATAGTTCTTAAAGTGGTACTTGGTTTTGGAGGCTCAGTCACTTCATTGGAATATTCTCCATAACCACCATAGCCTGTGGCTGGTGGAGTATCTTTCCATTCTTCTTCTGGTTCGGGCTCTTCCTCTTCAGGGACTTGTGGTGATATAGCTGGAATTGGTTTATCATAAATGACAGCGTCTTTACCATAGCCGTTAGGATTTTTTTTGTATTTTACGTAAAATACTTGAACTTCTTCCTTTTTCTTTTTTTGAGGTGGCGGTGGGGCCTCTGTAGGCGGAGGCGGTAAAGTTACATTGGATTCTTTAATAATTATTTCAATGATTGGTTCAGGTTCTTTAATGTAAACTGGCTTTTCTATGTATTTAATTAAAGGCTTATGGGGTATATAGATGGTATCTCCGCTTCCTCCTCTATCGACGCCATCGTGGTCCTGGGCGGCAAGGTCTTGGCCTGGATCTATATCAGGGGGTAGAGTGTTAGTATCGTATAAAGGATCGCGCTGCGAATAATGGATCAGAGGTTCCATTTGAACAGCGTAAGGAGGTGCAGGAAGAGATTGTGGTCTACCTTTACGATATGGGCGGGGTGGGCCTGGATGGTACTGTGATTGGGAGTAGAAAGGCGGGGGTCCATTCGATATCCTTCGTTCCAAACGGTAGCTGTGCGGTCCTGCGTAATGTTGTGATAAGGCGTAATCGAGCTGACGTTTTTCTTTCTTTTTTGGTCGGTGTTCGTCGATCGATTGGACTAGTACGACGAAGTAACTTAGAGTTACCTGAAATAGACAAAGAAAACATTAATTTGCTAAATAGGCGGGAGAATTATCCTAATGTAAATAAAAACCGCAAATACATACTTAATAGCTTCTTAAAACACCAACATTGCAAAAAAGCGACATATCAAAAGAGCGATATATGTAAAGAACGACATTTAAAACCAGCGACATATTAAAAGAGCGATATTTAAAAGGGCGACCTCTAAACAAAACAGAGACACATCAAATTGAATCAATAATTATCAAGAAAATGCAGACTTACTCAAACTAACCCAAAATATCCCGTCCGCATTTTATTTGAAAACAAAGACCGCTCAAGGGACGCTACGCTATTAGTAGATTATTTACTTAATTTACTTTATTTTTTTGTTTAAATAAAATGCTTACGAGGACTATAATTTGTCCAACGAAGCTACGGAGTAACCAAATTACCTAACCTTTTTCTTTTAGAGGTTTGTTTGCCCGATTTATACACTGTAAAGAAAAGGGCGGGTACATATTTTGAAATATGTAAATGGTATACATCAGAATATCATTTCAGTTAAGTAAGGGCCGAATTTATAGTCGCTCCTTGAGGTTTCCTTGGACCTTAAGGAAGCCTTGAACGTTTAGAATTGACATGACTAACTTGTCAAATAGTACCAAGTGTCCATTCTGAACTCACGACCTTTAAGGCAGACTCAAGGAATGACTATAAATTCGGCCCTAAAGTACCTACGCTTAGTTTATGTTTTGAAATTTTGTTTTCCAAAATGATTGTATTGCATTTTTTCTTTGACTATTTCACTAGAGTGTACGTTTTTCATTTATTTAAGTGTTTGTAGACTGTGAAAAAATTCTATAATGATTATACATAATTTTTGATATTAAATCACAGGACATTAAATTATGATAGTAGTACCGTCATAATATAGGTACCGACGTCACTGGTAATTTCACATCATGAAATTTGCAGGATTGCAGGTATTTGTGCAGTGTAGACCAGGCCGACCAGCTCCACCATGTTCACTCCGCAGGTTTGTTGGACAGAGTATAGATCGCACTAAGTGGACGCATGCATACCTGACAGTTTATCAGAAGGTGAATAAACTGGCCCTAATACAACAAAAATATTTAGTTTCCGCGCGACTTAATAGGTTACGTAATAAGTACCTAGTCAACCAATATTTTATAAGAAATCTAATTCAAACTTGCAAGCAAAACTCGAAGCAAAATAACCAAAACACGCATAAAAAACACATATTCATAACAAAACTTGCTTGACTGCCACGCCACATTGAATTTTTGTTTTGACAGATGAATTGGATTGCCTAATAAATAAGGGCATGTCTATGTGACGTCACAGATGAGTTTGACAGTCGCCCTGAGGTAAAACAAATCGGTCCGTTATGTTTTATGCGGTTTTCACAGCTTTTTTACAAGTTTTGGTGTTATTTTGTTTTAAAAAAGTTAGAGCGGAGTGTTTGTTTGTGTTCCACTTTATGTGGTTTTTTATCTAAAAGTTTGCTGGGTTTTCCTGTAATGAATTAAATTCAGGTTTTTTCCAACAAATATCAAAACCAAGTGTCACAAGAACAAATATATAAGTATAGTTTCTCTACATTCATCCTATTTTTCTTCAGATCTTATCTTTTAAGAACATTAATCAATTTTTCTCTTCTTTCTTGAGCTAACAAATTAAACCTCCCATTGTTATTTAAAATTGATGGAAACCTATGGAAGGATATTGTATCCTTTGCGCTATACTGCCACAACTAACAACTCATCAAACTCTAGGCAATTTCAGGAAGCTTCTGGGAGTACACAAAAGGTATTTATTTAAAAAAATCTAACTAAAAACCTAAAAAACACTGTAAATTATATCTTTATTTTACCTCAAGGCGACTGTCAATAGTGTCAAACTGTCAGATCGTGTACTTGCCCTGGGCACTTTCCAAAATTCACCGGTTTTTGAACCAGTCCGATACCGGTTTAATAGTTCACTCACCAAACCGTTCCAAAATGTACCGATTTTTTACTGGTTGAACCCGATCGTCCGTTCCAAAATTGACCGGAATGATCAGCTGTTTGAAACCGGTCAGGCACCGAATCCACCGGGAATTTGCGTCGGTTCTTTCGGTTCGAGATTTTTTGACACTTTTGTTTTGACGTATATTAATTGTTTTAAATGGGCACGATGGGAAATCTTTCGTTAAATTTTTGCTTGCAGATTGCAGAATGAAAAAATGTTTATGTGTGTGCATGAACAATTTTATCTTTATTCAATATGAACTCTCCAAACCAAACACCCAACTCAAATAATCTACAAAAATCGTACTGAGGGCTTTTATAGTCGGTACCTTGAGGTTTCCTCAGACCTTAAGGAAGCTTTGAACGTTTAGAATTCACATTAAGGCCCAGTTGTACAATCTCGGTTCAAAACAAAGTTCAACTGAACTCGACTGGTACTTGAGCTTACCGATTTAAAATACATTGCTGTCAGCTAATAATGAAATTCCATCAATTTTGACAGCAATGCATTTCAACTGGGGAAGTTCAAGTACCAGTCGAGTTTAGCTAAACTCTGTTTTGAACCAATATTGTACAACTGGGCCTAACTGGTTAAATAGTAGCAAGTATGTCCATTCTAAACTCGTGACTCCAAGGAAGATTCAAGGAACGACTATAAATTCGGCAATTTGATACCTATCGTTTGTTTACTGTTAAAAATAATAAAAAAGAGACCAACCTCACTGCACCTCACAGTCCTCACATTACACCACCATACATTACAAACAACACATACAACCAAACTTTACCACACCAAAGCGTTCCAAAATGCATCAGAAAATTCATGTAACCGGGCTTACACCTAACTTTTACCGGAATTTTTTGACAGCTACCGGTTTATTTAACCGGTCAATTTATCGGTGAAATTTGGAAAGTGCCCCCTATTAGACTATCCAAGATGCTTTCAAACTTAAATTAAAATGTCCGACAAGAGGCATACAAACCCTTTGTTTGCTAGTCAAAGTCGCGTGTTTTGGATAAGCTGACTATTCAAGGTTCTGTCAAACTTAAATTAAAATGTCCGCCAAGAGGCACACAAACCATTTGTTTGATTGTCAAAGTCACGTGTTAGTCTAATAAATAATCCTTCAAACGCATTGTTTGTCCTCCCATCGAAAGTGAGGTTATGTGTGTGACGTTAGTAGTGCCTAATAGGGCAAGTACACGATCTGACAGTTTGACACTATTGACAGTCGCCTTGAGGTAAAACAAAGAATAATTTACAGTGTTTTTTTAGGTTTTCAGTTAGATTTTTTTAAATAAATACCTTTTGTGTGATCCAGAAGTTTCTTGGACATGCCTAGAGTTTGTTTAGTTATTAATTGTGGAAGTATAGCGCAAGGGATACAATATCCTTCCATAGGTTTCCATCAATTTTAAATAACAATGGGAGGCTTAATTTGTTACCTCAAGAAAGAAGAGAAAAATGTATTAATGTTGTTAAAAGAGAAGATCTAAGAGAAAAATAGATTGAATATAGAGTACCTATACCTACTTATATATTTGTTCTTGTGACACTTGATTTTGATATTTGTTGGAAAAAATCTGAATTTAATCCATTACAGAAAAACCTAGCAAACTTCTGGATAAAAGACCACATAGACTGGAACATAAACACTTTACTTTAACTTTTTTTAAACATAATAACACAAAAACTTGTAAGAAAGCTGTGAAAACCGCATAAAACATAACCGGCCTAATCTACACCAATGTAAATAAATGATTTGTTTTACCTCAGGGCGACTGTCAAACTGATTTGTGACGTCACATGGACATGCCCTATAGGGCAAGTACACGATCTGACAGTTTGACACTATTGACAATGGCCTTGAGGTAAAACAAAGATATAATTTAGTGTTTTTTAAGTTTTTAGTTAGATTTTTTTAAATAAATACCTTTTGTGTGCTGCAGAAGTTTCTTGGACATGCCTAGAGTTTGTTTAGTTGTTAATTGTGGCAGTATAGCACAAAGGATACAATATCCTTCCATAGGTTTCCATACATTTTAAATAACAATGGGAGGTTTGATTTGTTAGCTCAAGAGAGAAGAGAACTATTAGTCCCCAGTACATCGACCCTAAAATTTTGTAACTCATGTACACGCCAAACTTCCTGAGCGGCTTCATAACACCAAGTCGGACAATATTTTTCATATCTCCACCCTGGGCGATGGGACATTGCCGCGCTAGCTCTTCGTGAAGTTGTCGTTCTGACGTCCCTAAGGAAGTTGATACATGTACGTGTAGCTTCAATGCCAATCGACTGTTTTTTATATTACATTAACAATATCACATTTGTCGGACAAAAACCATGTGGCTTTGGGGAAGGTCCGACGCCCTTAACATGTCGCTGTGGCGTCCCTGAGGAAGTTGATACATGTACGTGTGGTTTTGATGCCAATCAACTGTTTTCTATGTTACATTATTGATATCACATAGGTCGGACAAAAATCACGTGGCTTTGGGGGGGTCCGACGCCCCCAAAATGTCGCTGTGGCGACCCTAAGGAAGTTGATACATGTATGTCCGACAAAAATAATTATGAATAACAATGTAATTTTAAAACATGTGTAGTAAATGTCGGACAAATAAAATCAGTATTAAAGTCAGTCGGACAACAATAGTCCTTTTGATCAATTTCTGCCGAAATTCAGAATCTTCACTCCTGAGATCGCACAAAAAACACGACTGAATATCCATTCTTTCTCACACACGTGGTTTTGAATGACCGTTTACAGAATAATTTCCGTAAATACTCGGAGAACTATCAAAAAAATAGATCAGGGAATATGACACAGGGCCCCACAGGTATTTGTCAAAGTAGGTAAATAATAAACTGACTAATATGCACGTTGCGTTAAGGCAAACTAATTTCAACAACTACTCCATGTAGCTTAAGACTCGTAACAAATGTCCTTCCACATTAATCTAAGAATTTTAAATGTATCAATTA